TTTTATTAGTAAACTTTTATAGTGTATGTTAAGCCTTTTTGGTTTCCCAGTATGAAATAGATGTTCAGCTGGAAGTGTCCATGTTTTATGAATTAGTTCATGTTCTAAGTCTGTCATTTCACTTAAATCTGTAGAGAATTTTTCGTTTTATGGTATTGTCATTCCACTGTCTTGTCTGTATCTTAAAAAACAAAGATAAGATGGTATTTTCATCTTTGGATATCAGTTGTCTTCTTAACATGTGATGCTTTCTCAGTAGACTTACTTGAAAATAGGAAAGAAGAGAGAATGAAGATAGAGAATGTATTAGTATTATAATGGCAGCAGAGGGGATATAGCTGGGTATATGGCTATGGCATGCTGATGCCACAAAAGATGTCAGGGCATAGGCCTATTCCAAGATCAAATCAGTGATGGGCATTAGGGCACTTCACAATTTCTGATATACACAGAATATTAAATAAAACAAAAAATACAGAAAAAGTAAATCATGATTACATAAAGTAGGAATGACAGTTAAGGGCACCTGGGTGTACTAGATTTTTATTAGAGGTCACATCCCCGCACCTGGGTGTACTAGATTTTTATTAGAGGTCACATCCCCTTGTAGCTACATGTCTGTGTGTATTCTTTGTTGAATACTGCGCCACTACTCTTCCCTCCCAGAACCACTGGGAGGGGAGAGTAGGCAAGGCAGCTCCCTCAGGGCCTAGGATCCACTTTGTTTTATACATTTTGAAATAATTTAGCAAGTACTTTTTCCTTCTGTTTTCTCTCTTGAAAATCTTTGCAAATTTTATTTGTATCTCAAAAAAGTTTGTTCTTTTTGGTTTAGTTGTAGTGTTCCAGTCACTTTATTAGCATTTTGATGTCAAGAGTAAAGCAAGGGTTCACATCCACTAGTTGCTCTGGGGCCTGACATCACTTTCTGTGGCCCTGAACTTCATACTGTAGGCATTCATTCACAGACCACACCAAGTTTATTGTGGATTTGAGAAGAACAAAGCTAGTATGACTATACGAAAAAATGTCACTTTTGAAAATCATATTCACACACTACTAATGTAACTGACATTGACATTAGTTCCTTTTCCTGCCATTTTTCATTAAATGAAGTAGGCCTTATGATAGTAGAGTACAAAAGTATTTATTTTTTTATCGAGTAAACATTAGTTAGGAGGGAAAATGTACATCAAATATATTTTCTATGTGTGCAGATGTCCTGCCACTTTATCCACTTTAACACTATATAAGATTGTATGCTATTTGGTATATGTGCTTTTCATCTGACCTAAGCATTACGTGTGTAGTCTTTGTAGATAGAAATTCTAAGATTACTTTTTCTTTTCAGGGGGTTTGACTTCCAAAAATATCGACGTCCCCTTGTCATGGGCAGCATATTTGCCATGTTGTCACTGGTGTATACTTTTCGGTTAGTATGTCTAATACTTTGTGAATTGCATTTTCTCATAAGATGATTCTTTTCTCATGATATTCTATGACTTATGAGTAAAGCTTACTGATGCAACCTGTGATTCAAAGGATTGCTGTTACCTGTGCAGTTTTGTTGTCTCGCAATGGCCATCAAGCTTCTACTATACATATTTTGTTAAAATAGATAGTTAATCTTTACAGTAGGGCTGCAGTAAGCTAGGGTAAATTGATGATGGTACTCTTGTAGAGGACAAAAAGTTATAGTGGTCAGTACAAGAAATAATTTGCAGTCAAGAACAGTAAATTCACAAATAAAAGAAAAAGATCATGGAAAGTGGTGCTCACAAGCTCAGTACACTTGGCACTCCTGAGTTTCAGCTCTATCTTTCCATGCATACTGAAGTGAAGACAGTGTTTGCTAGTGGGTGTTGGGCCCCTCATCAACTCTTCCTTGGGGCAGTCAAGTATGCCCAGTCAGCAATTTAGACTGCAGAATAAAGTTTGTGACATTGAGTTGGGGACTTAGTCTCGGGCAAGTGCATCCCTACCGTAAAGAATTACCAAATAGAGCTTGGATTTGGTCCTTATTCAGTGATAAATTACCAGGAATCTTTCTCTTGCCAGAATAGATGTGGTACATATTTGTTGGCCTTTGCTAGAGCACTGAATGTGTGTTTGCTAGGGTAGTGGTTTGAGTCAGTAAGTTTTACTGCCTTTTTAAAAACTGATTCCTGTTGTTTCTCTTTCCCATTTTCGTTTCCTCTTTTCCTCCTCTTCATACCATTCTTGTTTTTCCTCCAAATTTCCTCTCTTCCTCCCTAATAGCAGAGGGGGGGAAAATCCATTTTTGTTAGATATATGAAATAGGTTTTATAAATGACTGCACCCCCAAATCCTTACCTCACAATCACTTATGAAAAAGGTGTGACAAGGAAATGAAGCCTGCCTGCCCCCCCTCTCTCTCTCTCTCTCTCTCTCTCTCTCTCTCTCTCTCTCTCTCTCTTCTCTCTCTCTCTCTCTCTCTCTCTCTCTCTCTCTCTCTCTCTCTCTCTCTCCCTCCTCTCTCCCTCCCACTCCCACTCCCTCCACTCCCTCCCTCCTCCCTCCCTCTCCTCCTCCTCCTCCTCCTCCTCCTTTCTCCCTCTCCTCCTCTCCCTCCTCCTCCTTCCTCTCTTACATATTTTAGTCATTTAGTTTAGTGTTTACTCTCAGTTTATATGAAAATAAAGTGGTGCATGGTTACTTCATTAAAGTGTTACACTACCACTCCTAGCACTGTCTGCATTATGCACTTAACTGTCTACCTTTACTTTGTATACACCAATGCCATCAGCATGTTGCACCAAGTTTTCACAAAAAGTTTGTATGACCAAAAGAACAGTAAGCATAACCAAGGCTGCCAACCAAACAAAGGAAAATGGAGAATTTTTGCATATATTCAATTTGTACATTTGTCAGCATTATTTTAATGTCTCCTATTTCTCCTCTGTTTCTAGACTCGATTTAATCGGAGACATTTCAAAAGAGAAACAAGATCTTCTCCGACAGACAGATGTCAGTGGCAGCAATAAGATAAAGGAAACCATAAGAGAAACCCAACTAGATTACTTCAGAAATTTATCTGGGGAAAAGAAATAGTGGACCCTTTCTTGAAATGCTGAATATGCAGACAACTGTGATAGGGGTGTGCTGGAAGGCCAGAAGGATGGCTTTTCCAAAACTTTGTAAATAAACGAAACACCCCATTTAATCAGCTGATGCTTGTTTACTGTTGTAAAAAAGTGTCAGATCATGCATATTTGACTTTTCTTTTCCTTTTTTACTTTTCATTAATTTTGTCAATGTTTACTACTGAATTGTAGGATGTAAGTACAGTTAGAGTTATATTTATGATTTGAATAGTAATAAAGAGTTTTAAAGTTATATATTGTGAATAATTACCTTCCATATTTTAAAATTTAAGTCTTTCCACTCATATAATGCATGCTTTACTTCAAAATTGTTGTTCTTGTTTTACTATGGTAAAGCAGTGGAAATAGCAACTGCATTAAACATATGTCTGAATCAATTATATCTTAAATTTGGTATTTAATATATTGTATGCATATGCTTTAGGCAGCTATTTTCACTTAGATGAATATTCCTATTTCATAAGAAATGTTTTATCTGCTCTTGTTCTATAGTTTGCATCTATGAAATGGAATGAAGTTATAATTAATTTCAAAGGATATTTTGTATAAGTAGATATTTTTGCAAGTAATTTCATATCATACGACTGGTTTGTTAGAACTGTGCGAGGCTCAACCTAATGAATATTCATTGTACAGCTTTGCATATACACAGAAATAAATACATATCTATCAGTCAAGACCTACAAAATAACTGGATAGATTGATAGATAAATATATATCTATCAGATAGATAGATAGATATGCATTTATTTTTGTGTATATGCATGTCCGTATATATGAATATCAATTGGGTCATGCCTAGCACAATTTTAACAAACTAACTGAAATTCCCCCACTATTAAGGTAATGTATCTTTCAATTATACTATAAATGTTACCCCTTAGTCCTAGACTTTTATGCAAAAATTTGCAAATTAACAATTACTGTCAAACTTCAATTGGTTTTAGATAGTGATGCATCACATATACTGTCTGGATATTACATATTGTAATATGGTGTCTGTTGCGCTAAAATTGTTTTTGAGTAAAGCTGACCATGATTCTAAAAAAGTAATTTATTTTGTGATAAAGTTATATGTTTGGGTTACTATTTCACAGGTTTTTTGTAAGTGCAGTCAGAAGACATCACTGGAGTACAGTTACAAAGACTGAGAATTGTGACATACCAAACCAGCTCATTTGTGCATTAATTGTCATCAATGTATTAATGTTTATCTAAAGGTGATTAGGAAATGTATATATTGTTTCATTCATGTGGTATTAGGGTATAAATTAGCGGCTGTAATAAGTGGGAAATGTGGATTTGTTGACAGCATCTGCTTATGATGCTAGTCCAAAATGAAAATTTAGACTAATTTTCTTGTATGGATTGCATAGCGATTTTATGGATGCCACAGAGCAATGTTCTTGTCAAGTGCTTTGAGCTTTTAACTTGTAGCAAGTAATGGGACATTGACCATCTACAAGAAATATCAAGTGTGAATGGACATAACTACTGATTGTAAGTTAAAGTACAGTCAGAATTTAGACTTGCTGTCTCTCCAAACTGAAGAAAGAACTTTATAACTGCAACCAATGTACAAAAGTATTACAAGTGCAATGGTCATTAACCAGTGGTGTACTTGAAAGTGTGGGTATGCAAGTGACAGATTTTTAATTTATTTACATTTTAAAAATTTATTATTTCACCATTTGTTCCACCATTGCAAATTAGGGACCATAGGGACCTCATTTTCTGATGATGAATACATGTACACAAGAGAAGCAACATAGGAAAGGTGCAGAGGTGATATATTGAGAAGTAACCTCTAGAAAGAACACTGATGGTTCTTTGCAAGCAAAGATTCATTTTGTTAAATAAGATTACATCAGAAAGTTGAATCTCTTTTAAGTGGGATATTTAAAAAGTTGTATCAGATCTCTTTTTTGTGCTTGAAACAAAGCATTTCATTGCAAAGCTTTCATATAATTACCTGACCTTTTTGAGGTTACCTAAGATATAGCAAGAAATCTGTAGACTTCTGATTTCTGTACAAATTGCCTCTCTAAACTTCAACACCTTGAAAGGTAAACAAAGGTTTCTGTGTCATAGGCCAAAAACTTATTTGAAATTAACCACTTGCCACCGGGGATACATGCTATGCCCACTGTTTGTTTAATTTAGTAATTGTTTTTTAATATAGATGGCTCCATAATTACTAAGTCACCAATGAGCCAGTTACAAAGAAATACCCGTATCACCTATTTACCCATTTCCTTGATTTTCAATATTTTTTAGTATTTAACCCTTTGCCGATGGGAATGGCATGTGCGTACATGCTGTGCCTAGTGTGTGTTCAATTTAGTAATTGTCTTTACATATAGATGGCTCCACGTGTACGAAGTCACCAATGAGCCAATTACAAGAACTACCTGTTCACCTGTTTACCCTTTTCCTTGATTTTCAATATTTTCTAGCATTGAATACTGCTGTTAGTAATGTCACTAACAATATAGAAATTATTATGTTTATACCAAAAATAAGTTTCGATGTTGATAGCATTAGTAAAAAAGTGTTTTCCCGCTATTCAAGGAAAGGCGAGGTCAAAAGATCTAATCGACTCCTCTGCTGGCAGAGCTATCTATGCACAAAAACATTTAACAAAATACTGAAATGAATGCAACATTTTCCTGTCAGCATTGGGTTAAAAGCTGTCATGTGTAACTCATAACTACACTCAGAATTTGTTTCAAGTTAGCAATATTATTTTTACATGTAAGGGAAAATGCTTAGAACTTTTTTTTTTGTAAATACTCTGTGTTGCAAGACAATGTTTTCTCCAGGCAGTGATGGCTTGTAAGGTACTGATTTTTGTATATACACTGTATGAGAATGAAAGACATGAGAATTCTTATAAGAACTACTGTAAGACCTTTGCAAGACCTTTAGTGTATAATTTCATGGAACAGATAAAGATAGACAACTTTATCTTATAAAATATATAAAATATATTATTACACATTCTTTTATGTGCTCATGTCAGAGAGCATACAGGTGGTTCACAGTAAAAAATAAAATGCAGTTTCAGGATTACTTGTATTTCCATCAAACCAATTTCAGTAAACAAGGTGCAAATTTTCTGGAAGAAAGCTGGATTTAATACTAAGATTACCATCCTATTTTTGTCTGTTGCATTCATTTGCTTGTATGTTGCCAGAACTGGTTACATTTATCATGTGTTTTTGTGAAGTCTGTATATGAAATGAAATTATGTTTTCTGCTGGTCTTCAAAGAAATATAGATTGGAGGTTATTATAAAGAAAAATATTATAAAAAGAACTTTATTTCATTACACCTATCCTCAAAAGGATGATACATGATATGAATATTACAAAGTGCATAGATGAAAAGTATATGAAATGGTATGATACATACTGAATTAAGCCTTGAACAGATTTATTGTGCAGTAAAAATATGCATATTCTCTTTTTGAGCATCACTAAATAATCATATATTTTTTTTGTTGCTTCTTTTTTTTCTAAATATAATTTTTTTGTCTTTTGGGCTTCCTGATGCTATAAATAAGTATGACTGAAGCACAGTTGTGAGATTTCTCTCCTTAAATACTGGAAGATGATGATGAAAAAAATCTCATTAATGGAAAAAAAGAAAAGGAAAAAAAAATCCCAAGATAATACTTTCCTTCCTAAATAGCTTTAGGAAGAATCTGTGATGAGGTGTGAAACTTTGGTTTAAATTTACGCATCCACTTCAGCTGAAGGTCCCTTAGTAAGTTCTCCATGTTATGAAAACCCCTTGTATTATTTCCCTCCTTTCCCTGACCATAGGAAATATGTACAAAGTATATACAATGGCAGAAAATAGTAGTAATAAAGGTAAATACGTGTCAGGACTTGTTGCTTTATAAAGGAACTTGAAATTTATGTACTTTACTATGTAAGAAGTTCATTAAATGATACTGGATTCCTTTGACATTATTCTTGTTTAAAAAACATTCATAAAGAAAGTTGCACATTTCACAGTAATGGAAGATTTCAGAGAATAGTTCATCATTGTCCTCTTGTCAGTCTGAATAACAAAGATCTGACATCAAAAATCCTTCATTCATTTTAAAACTTTACTACAAATATTGACAAAATTACGAGATAAACAACATTTCACTTGCCATCTGGTTTAATTACAAAATTTACCGAGATTTTTTTTATATCAAAATGTCACAATAAAAAGAAGGATCCATTCTTTCTCAGAGCCCTCCTATTTCCTATCATTTGTGACCATAATTTTCAAACTTTGAAAAAATACGCAGTAAAGATACAAATGGTCATCCTTCTCCACCTACTTGTCATTACGGTATGACAATATGCAAATATAAAACCAAATATTAGAAAAAATCTGAAATTTTTTCTAGAAATACTTTTATCATATTGAAGACAAACTTATGGTATAGACGAGACAAATGATCTTCTAGCTACCTTACGTCCCAGAGAGATGAAACGTACTCAGATGATCAATTAATAATCTCTCCTACTTTACACTATATCTGAAAATTTCCTCTCAAAAGAGAGGTGTAATGAAGAAGTTTACAAAATCCCAACCTTGGTTCATCAAACAGTACTGATTATTCATTTGAAGTAAATGAATTCATGCATTAAAATTTTGCAATCTGATATTGTATATTGCAATTGATAAAGCTGATGCAACATGAAACATCACTCTAGAAAAAAATGTCGACTTACTGATTTCAACAGCACTATATTTGATTCCCTTTTATGTTTGGTATTATTGTACACCACATGTCTTGACTGATTTCAAATAAATAATTTTCTTTGAATTTCATATTCAAATACAGCTGCCCTATTCACAGGAGCTACTGCCAACCTCATTCACTTTCTCTCAAAAGATGAAAGGCATTCAAATTTTGATAAATTTTGGGTTGTTTAGGCCAAGCTTGAAGTTGATATCTGATAAGACAATGCCGAACTGTATCTCCTTCTCTGCTGTGATGCCTGCCATGATGTCTTCGTCCACTTCTTCTTCCTTGTCCTTCTTCTCGCCATTGTTGTTATTCTTCTTCTTCTTCTTCTTCTTCTTTTCCTTCACTGGTTCTTCATCTTCTTCCTCTTCCTGAAATTTTAAGCCACTATAAAACTTCTTTCAATGTTTTGCAACCTTAAATAAGTATTTGAAACCGGAAGAAAAAAAGATATCCGAGTTTATACCTGTAGTGTGAACAGAAGAAGGAAGAGTGGGAACAGTGTAAAAATGATAACCAACATGATACAGTTTATAGTTTAGGATTTAATGTTAACACAGAGTGCATTATTATAATTTTTTTTCTTTCTTTCTTTCTTTCTTTTTTCTTGTTGTCATGAACCCTTTAGAAGTTTTGAGGAAGGCAATGACCATCTCCCAGAAAAAAAAAAAAAATCTCAATATGCATAGCTGCAACTATCTGAACACTTGAAGAATGAATGCATAACACAAATTGAAAAGGTAAATCTTAATAACAAAAATGTTTCTCTTCAACATTTTGTGTTGTAACATAGACTTTATTGGTATTTGGAATCAAAATAGTTTTGTCAAATTGATTTTCAAAGTATGCAAAGAAATTCATATATAAATTTATGAACTATAAAAAGACTATCCTGTCAGATTTGGCAACAGCAAGATCGCACCTCATAAACACAAGATGGCCTATATTGACTACCAGAACTACAATAATTACCCATGCAATGCAACAAGATAGAGAGATTTAAATGAAGTAATCATTAATATCAAAATCATTTTTAAAAACTTCTTGGATAAAATGTGTAACTTCTTTACTGTCTTTAGTGGTTTATGATCCCAGGTTCAGAACCCCTGCCTTAAAACTTCTTTGTTCGGCAATTTTATAACCTTATTTAAATAACAACAGAGATGATATAATTTATTTAATGAGATGCAAGTGCAAATTTCAACTTTTAGCTTATAAAACAGATCATATTTTTTAAAATCCCTTTATCTATAATCTTCAGAAATACCATGTGCGTGAACAGCATTTTTAAAAACAACAATCCAACTGCTTAAAAGCATTTATTAATACTCAAATGGAGCCATCTTCTACTACTACTACTACTACTATTACTACTACTAATACTACTAACAATAATAATAATCAATATTAACAATAAAGGAACAGATTTTTAAATTTCTTAAAGTTAGTGTATTTAATAATATTGCTCTTTTTTTTAAATAATTTTTTGTAGCTTTCCAAGTTGAACAAAATATAATAATTTTTAACCCATGACCACATTAGGCAACCACAGTCAGATTTCTAACTCTATCATTCATGAAGTATTAACCCCATCCACCTGGTGGCATGTAAAGCTACACAGAAAAATGTTGTTAGAAAACCATGCTAAACATTTTGAATGAGCAATGATACTTTTTGAAATTTAGTTGTTAATGCTGCCAAACGGATGGTATCCCTGATTTTCCAACTGCTTTTGAGTGTGTATGGCTTATCTGAACATTGCCAGGTATATTCTATCTCTTACAGGAATATGAATGCATATGAATTCCAGAACGACTATTCGAGACACGGATCAGAACTAGACAAATTCAAAACCCAAAATACCAACCCTTCCATATCAAAAGGTTCTGTTCATTATTGAATCTTTTGACATCCCTCCTAACGATAGTTTTCTGTGTAACTGTACATACATGGCTATTGTAGAGCAAGTAGCGAGTGGCATCGCATCACAATCATTCCCATGCCGTTGGTTCATCAGAAGGAGCTTCTTTTTTTACAATTTTTTTTTTTTTGGCACCATTTGCATGGCAAAACTTTTATGCAATACCACCAATAACAAGTAAAGGTAAACTTCCACATAAAAAAAAAATAATAATAAATAAATAAATGATATCACAACATAAGTTTTAAGGTGCTTAATGTTCCTTGCAAACTACAGAACCAGCCAGATGCTAATGGGGAAACTGCTGATGTATACCAACAATCCCACATCAAAGGCTCACTAGCAAAAATTTTAACCGTTGATGGGTTGAATGGCCATAGTCTACAACCTCAGAAAAATATCTATATGGCCTCCAGCCTGCTCTACTGAATGATGCCATATTTGGAGTATACCAAATAAACTTGCAACTGCTCATAAAATGAAACCGGCCGCTCAAATGAACAAATATTCTAAAGAATTTAGCCCTGTTCTAGAGCATACCAACAGACTGTTACTGTGTGTGTGTGTGTGTGTGTGTATGTGCGTGTGTGTGTATGTGCATGTGTGTGTATGTGCATGTGTGTGTATGTGCATGTGTGTGCATGTGTGTGTATGTGCATGTGTGTGTATGTGCATGTGTGTGTATGTGCATGTGTGTGTATGTGCATGTGTGTGTATGTGCATGTGTGTGTATGTGCATGTGTGTGTATGTGCATGTGTGTATGTGCATGTGTATGTGCATGTGTGTGTATGTGCATGTATGTGCATGTGTGTGTATGTGCATGTGTGTGTATGTGCATGTGTGTGTATGTGCATGTGTGTGTATGTGCATGTGTGTGTATGTGCATGTGCATGTGTGTGTATGTGTGCATGTGTGTGTATGTGCATGTGTGTGTATGTGCATGTGTGTGTATGTGCATGTGTGTGTATGTGCATGTGTATGTGCATGTGTGTATGTGCATGTGTGTGTATGTGCATGTGTGTGTATGTGCATGTGTGTGTATGTATGTGCATGTGTATGTGCATGTGTGTGTATGTGCATGTGTGTGTATGTGCATGTGTGTGTATGTGCATGTGTGTGTGTATGTGCATGTGTGTGTATGTGCATGTGTGTGTATGTGCATGTGTGTGTATGTGCATGTGTGTGTATGTGCATGTGTGTGTATGTGCATGTGTGTGCATGTTTTTGTATTTTGTGCTATTGTATTTTTTTACCTTAACCCTTATGATCTGGATGATCGTAAGGTTAAGGTTTGAAGGGTGGGTCACTTGATCAAGCCGTCATGGGAATATCTGGCTATGGGTTGGGGTGATGTGAACTAGCCATCATGAGCATTTCAGATGAAGGCCGAGTTATAGATTATCTAGAGAGATACTATAAAGTCAATGACCATTTGGAAAAAGCAAATCAAATAACAAATATGGACTGAAAAATTGCAAAAAAGCTAAAAATACTTATGCATAAAGAGAAAATAACATTGTAAAGGCAAAGCATAGAGTCGTCTTCGCACACAAATGTTAGTAACTGAAATAAACCAAAGGCAAGGGGACAATCTATAAGACTAAAATCCAAGCAAATGAAATGCAAACAACCATACTCACTAGAAATTCATGCATTGCTAATCCTTCCCCCAAAAGAAAAGTAGAAAATAAAAATAAACTTATTACTGTAATCATGCACTTGTATTCCTCAAGCCTCCAAAGAAGATATATTAACGAGCCACTGATTAGCAAACATATTTCTTGTAATAAACATTTCTTGATGTACTGCCAATCAATATCATTATATCTCTGATCACCATCACCAAATCTGAAATCCGTAGTGTGTGTATGAAAATCATAAGAGATGTTACCAATATCTTCAAACAAGCGAGAACAGCTGTTTTAACCAAATGAGAGAGGAAAAGGTATCTGACCTCAATTGTCATGTCTGCAACAAACTGGTAAAAGCATATCACATAAGGATATTTTCAAGTATTCATCATTTACAACTGAAGCAGCACATTCCTTTCAGCAAGAAAATAAGGAAATTGAGTATATAGATAAGAGATTTATAGATTATACAAGGCAATCATTCAAGACTACATTCACTTATTTGTTTGTTGATAATGTAAGAAATGGTAAAGCCTAAACAACCAATAGAAAAAAGTAGAAAATTTCTGTGAAAGAAGGTTAGGAGGTTGTCCCAAAGATGTCATTTCACGTCCATTTCTTGCCGAGGTCATTAGCTGTCGAGATCTGTCAGACCTTAAAGATATATATATATATACACGTTATATACTAAGAGTATTCATGAAGATTAGCTAGTGGGAGGGTTGGAGTGCATATAAGTCACACTTGGGACATGTGATGCATTACAGCGCCAATTTCGGATTATCTTAGGGTGGGGGAAGGATAAGGTGCAAGGATTCTTATATATTAGTGAAAGCTAATATGTAGAGAGTTCAAATAAGATTGTTAAGGATGTGTAAAAAAAATATAATAATAATAAATAAATAAAAAAAATGGAGAAAGATAAAATAATGAAGAAAAAGAAATAGGATTCGTGCGACTGCCGATTCAATATCTATGGAGTTCTTACATCGATTTTACAAAACGCCATCGCTTATAACAACTGATTGCATTCCTCTCTTGGGGGGGAGGGCATTCTCCTCTTTGGGACACCTGCCTGCCTGCCTTCCCCGCTGGGCTGGATACTGACCTTGTTATAGCGATACATGGTAACACTAACCGGCTCTGAGTTGTTCTTCACTTTCCGTTCGCGCTTCACCCGTCCTGTGGGGTTGGGAGGTTCTTCCTTCTGTCTCTCCTTCCGGGCCTAGGGAGTAGCATGGGGAGGGGGGGAGCAGGGCAAAGAAGAGCTTAGTCTCTTGTGCATATTATATGGAGGGTCATTTAATAATGATATACATGTGCACATTGTATGTATGTATGTATGTATGTATGTATGTATGTATGTATGTATGTGTGTGTGAGAAAAGAGAAAAAAAATATACCACCCTACAGCATGATGTAAACACAAATAACAATTAGTCCTGCGCAAATAGACACAAACATTTTCTTGAACATTATTTGAAAAGGCATCCTTCAAACTTACAAAAATTCCATAGCAACCTACCTTCCTCATTTGATTCTCGTACTCCAAGGCATCATAGAAGTTGGGCTTCTCCCGCTTGACCCTCTCACTACGACGCTTGCCCTCCGGGGCTGACGAGCCCAGGTCTCCCTTGCCCACTGATGCCGTTAGAGACATGATTCCGCTAACTGCAGTTGACGTAGCTGATCCCCTGCTTGGTTTCATCTCCTTCAGCTGGCCGTCGTCAATCTCCTCTACCTCCGAGGTGTTTGAGGTGGTTGACCGGCGTCTCTCCTCGAAAAATTGGTGCCCGCAGTGACAGTGCTTTGTTGCGACTGGTACCTGAAAGTAATATGATTTGAAATTATTCCCTGAACAGATATAAAGTTGGATCACTTATTAAAAAAAATGACAAATAATATTACGAGTAATAATATCAATAATAATTACAATATCAATAATTATTAAAGAATGTGCTATGGTGTAAATAGAAGAGACACGTGTTCATCCAGAAATGTCTTCCATTCTCTTATAATCACGTGACTGATTCCCCCCTCCCCCCCTTTTGAGACACACAAAACTTTTGCAATAGACCTCCTAAATTATCTATGTTCTGATGATTATGCTTAACCCCTATGATCCATATGACCTAATCATCACATCATAGAAAAGTCTGGCTGTGGGCTAGGGTGACAATAACTAGCTATCATGAGAATATTGGCGGAAACCCAGAGTGATGGGAATGACTCGCCACAAGTGCAAAAAGCTCTTGGAGGGTCATTAGAATCAATGGGCATTTAGGACGGGACTTTTAGAACACAGGCTCTAGGGAGGAGGCTATTTCCCTGCTCAAGATCCTATATCTGGCACAAGATGTATTACTGAAAATTGAATATTAAGAAGGTAAAAATGTACACCTAACAATATATTACTTATTGTGAACTACCTTAAGAGATATTATGGAGTCTTTACAGGGAAAACTGTCTATTGCCATCTGGATAATACAAATTAAATGACATGTAGACATTAGAAAATGACAAAAAAGCTAACGCTTATGAAGAAAAAGAGAAAATAATATTGCAAAGGGGAGGCATGGTGTCTTGTCAGCATCTACAAGTGTTTGTGTGTGCCCAGCCTATAAGCCACACATCCTTCGGAGTGGCTGCTCAATTATGCCTAATACCCGTGTTGTGGTTCATGTGCGAGTAGGGAAGCTTCCAGATCCATGGGGTTAATAGGAAAATATTAAAAAATCACTGTTAGAGAAGACATAAAAAATTACATAATAACAATTGACAATAATGATAATAACAAATAAAAATAATAGAGACAATGGTATCATTCCCTGCAAAAATAAAATTCCTTTTTACTGACTTACTAAAGTTCTTAATTTGAAATATACCAGATACTCGATCTCTTCACTTGGGAAATAATCCACAAAAGTACCAGTACAGGTACATAAAATCAAATAACATAACTGCTAAAACTGAGGGCTAAATAATCAGACAAAACTATAAAACAAATGTTTATATATATTCAAAAGGGAAGAAAATATAGAAAAGAAACAATACAGCATGCAAAGCATCAACTAAAACTACCTCTACAAGAAAGGTACTGTAAACATTAAGTTGCATTTTAGCCTCCTATTTTCCTCGCACTTGCCCCCTCCTTATATCTCTCTCCCAAGCATCAAGAACCATTCTGTATACATTATATGAAAGTAATCAGTTGGAGAGAACCCAGCATTCACCAGACTTACCATTCATCTTTCCATTCTTACTTCCCTCCTCATTGTGTTTCTCCGTGTCTTCTTTCCTATTTATCCCTCTCCGTCCGGCTCTCCTACTGTTTCACCTTCCCTTTCGTCTCCTTCTTCCCCTCTTTTTCGGCTCTTCCTTCTATCAAATGCCCCTCTCATTTTTCCTTTCTCATTTCACCCCGCCTCTATTTCTCTTCCCCATCTGTTACTACAAACCCTCCGCAGAAACCTGTTCTTCTTTCCTCCCTCGTTCCTCCTCCCGCCACCCTTCCTCCTCAACCCTCACCAGCCATCCCTGTTCTCCTTTTCCCTTCCCTTCTTGTCTTCCTTTTCCCCTTCTCCCTACCCTCCTCTTCATTCTTCCTTTCCCTTCCTCCTTTTTTCCCTCTCCTCGTTCCTGTTCTTTCCTTTCCCTCTCCCTTGTTCTTCCTGTTCTTCCTTCCCTCTCCCTCGTCTTCCTGTTCTTTCCTTTCCCTCTCCCCTCGTACTTCCTTGTCTTCCTTTTCCCTCTTTCTCTGTCCTTCCGTTCTTGCCTTCCCTCTTCCCTCGTCTTTTCCTGTTCTTCCTTTTCCCTCTCCCTCGTCTTCCTGTTCTTTCTTTCCCTTCTATCCTCGCCTTCCTTTCCGTCTCCCCTCGTCTTTGTACCTTTCCTTTTCCTCTTCACTCGTTATCCTAGCTTCTCCCACCCTCTCTCTATTTCCCCTTTCTCCCCTCCCCTTGCTTTTCTCTCCATTCGTTTGCCTATCACCATCCCTTTCCCCTCCTCCTTCCACCTTCTTTCCTTCGTGTATCTACTCCTCTCCCTTTCCAACAATTATCATATTCTCCCTCCCATACTCTCTCCTCTCCTGGACTTTCCTTTCTCAACAACCCATCAGAAAAGTTTGATAATAAAATCTGTAGCAGAAAAAGCTTCCCAATAACCGAGCGGCGAGGAGCGGAGAGCGGAGGAGAGCGGAGGAGAGTGGAATCCGATCTAGTCTTTTGAGACGGGCGCCGTTGCCAGCGGCTTATAGTATATACATATACATACATGCATATATATTATATATATATATATATATATATATATATATATATATATATTATATATTATATATGTATGTATATTATATATATATATATATATATATATATATTATATATATATATATATATATGTGTGTGTGTGTGTGTGTGTGTGTGTGTGTGTGTGTGTGTGTGGTGTGTGTGTGGTGTGTGTGCCATAAATGTATACAAACACAGACAGACACACAGACACACACACACACACAGATATATAGTTGAGAGTATTGCTTGTTTAATTGATTATATTTATTACTAAGATTTACCTAATGACGTGCCATCTGTTCATTATTTTTTTATTTATTGAATAAAATACCAATGGTTAAAAACATTTCTATGGCCGTTCTAATTTTTGGCATACACTCAACGGAGGAATGACTTCATTCCAATCCCACGAACACTTAGGGTTCGTTACCCCAAAAATGATTAGAATAAATATGTCGACTGCATATGAAAAATTAATTTGTCACACACACACGCGCACACACACACACACACGCACACACACACATACACACACACACACACACACGCACACACACACACACACACCACACACACACACACACACACACACACATATATATTATATATATTATAATATATATTATAATATATATATATAGTGTTATATAGTGTTTGTGTCCGTACCCGTATACTACACACCCATATATACATGTATGAAAAGAAAACAGGCGCAATAGGAAATAACGTTTCGAACTTTCCACGCTCTCTCGTTCCATCCATGTACTTGTATTTTTTTTTTGCGTGTGTATTATATATGTATATACACACACACACACATATACCTACCTGCCTACATTTATATGTATATGATATATTGTATAAATATATATATATATATATATATATTATATATATATATGTATGCATGTATGTATTTACATATATATGTATATTTATATTTGTACATTATATACTTGGATATATGTATACATATTCATATACATACATACATACATATATATATATATATATAGATAGATAGATAGATAGATAGATATGTATATATGTATATATACACACACCATTTGTTATTTTACGTGTTCTTTAATGTCGTAACTGCATATTCGCCTCCTACCGCAGTCCCCCCTCCCTCAGGGCAATTGCCAAGCGTCGCACCGGACCTCACGCCTCCTCTCCCTTTGTCTCTACCTCTCACATTTTCGTCTCGTGCGTTATCCCCTCCTAGTTCTCAGTCTGCTTATAAGTTAGTCAGTCAGTCAATCTCCCTCCCCCTCTGTCTCCATCTTTCTCCCGTTTTCCTCTCCCTCTCCCTCCTTCCCTCGGAAACTGATCCACTCAGCGGCGCAGGGGCAGTCGACGGGACAATCCACAGATCCAGTAAACTTCGGGCCGACGGTTACGACGCCGTTTCGCGAAGCCTCGTAGGGATTCGAGCCGCAGTATCTCAAGGGGTTTCGGAGCTTCGAAGCCTCTCGCGTCCGGATTGCGGCGTTAGAATTCGCACTCCGAAAATACTGTAACGAACTCATTGCGGGGAGCGCGCGGCCTCGTTAACATTTGCATAGCCTCGTCTCCGGCTCGGTCCTGGAGAGACTATTCCCGGAAAAAGCGCTTATTTCCCGCTGATTGCTCTTCCGTTAAGCCAACCCATCTTTGCTTTTTTTATTAATTGATTCGAGGGAATTAGTTAGACTTAGGCTGGTATGATTGCACCATAAATAAGCATATAAACAGATTTTCTTTCGGACACACAAATCTATTTAACGCATTATAA